TCGGCAGTTTGTTGCTGCCTAGTGAGAAACAGCAGTTGAAGGCAATGCCATGAATGCTGGAGTGATCAAAATCAGTGAACTCAGGCTAGACTTCAAGAAACAGTTTTATGCAGGGTTGGGAGCTGGAGAACTTTTTTTTATTAGCTGTGAGTGTCATTGGCAAAGTCAGCATTTGTTGCCCATCTCTAATTCCTCTGGATGGTGAACCATGCAATCCATTTTGTGTAGGCATACCCAAGATCTGTTCGGAAAGAAGATTCAGGTTTTTCACCTGATAACAGTGAAGGAACATTAATAATAGCTCCAAGTCAAGATGGTGTGTGACTCGAAGCGAACTTGCAGATCATAGCATTCATAGGTGTTTCCTGCTCTTGTCCTTGGGTGGTAGAGAACGTGGGTTTGAAGTTGCTAATGAAGAAGGCTTTTTGTTGCATTGAATCATGAAAATGGTACACAATGTTGCCAATATGTAATCCTAATGGAGGGAGTAAATATTTAAGTTGGTGGAAAAGACGCTCTTAAATGGGATCCTTTGTTTTGGGTGGTGCTGAACTTCTCAAATGTTGCTGTAATTGCATTCCTCCAAATATCTTACTGTATCTGATAGATAGCAATGCTTTAGAAACCCCAAAGAGGATGTACCGCAGGATACCACACCCGGGGCCTGTGTCGTGTGTGTATGTGTGGTGTGTCTATATGTGTGGTGCGTGTGCGTGTGCGTGTGTGTGTGTGTAGGTGTGATGTGCATTGTGTACGGTGTGTCCGGTCCAGTGGAGAGTTGTCCCCATGATTCCCATTAACTTCAACTGGGTTAAGAATCCTTGATGCTGCACATGACCAATATTACCTTGACATCATAGGTAGTCACTTCCACTCACCTTTTGAATTTGGCTCTTATGCTCATGTTCAGATCAACACTGTAATAAGTTCAGAAGACTGCGTGGCCCTGTCAGAACCCAAACTAAACACAGATGGACACTTTGGTAATGTCTAATCTATATTGTTTCTCTTCTCAACCTCCTTCCTCGCCTGAGGCATGGTAACCCTCAGGCTAAACCACCACCAGTCATCTTTGTCTCTCCTATGATTCAGTAGGACTATGGTCCTATGTTGTAGCTTCACCAGGTTGATTCGAATGCCCGAGGCTGGCCAAAAGTGTACTGGAATAGGTGAGTCTAGAGGTAACAAAGATGCAGATGAGGGTCACAGGTGCAGATGAGTTGAGCAGGGCAGAGACATTATTGAGCTCAGATCCTTCTTTAGCTTTCCAACTTCAGAGACTGTCTTGTTAATTGTAGTGGCATTGTACACAGAACAAGAATCAGCATTCAATAGACTCAAACAACTAGTGAAAACAATCTTTGATGTCAGTAATGAAGTTACCTTGCAGCGATGCCACAGAGACAATATTTGGAGCAACCTTTATGCAACAAGGACGAGAAGTTTAATTTGCATTCAGGGCATCATACATGCTGAATGATGAAACAGTCAGATTGAGAAAGAGCACCTGGCTATTGTGTTTGCTTTTGAGCATTTTACTTGATACCAGTTTGGGAAAGACAAAGTGACAGCGGAGTCTAACCATAAACCACGACAAAGCACCTTCCTCAATTTTCTATGTGCCCCAAAGTGCCTGCAAAAAAACTTATTTCACTTGCTGAGATGTCATCTGGACATGCTTTACAAGCAAGGGAAACAGATTGGCATTGTTGGCATGCTCTCAAGAGCAGCATTCCTTACAAAGAAAGGTGAGTATGCTCAGGGAAAATGCAAAATCTTCCAAATTCAACATGAGGCAACTGGTTGACATGTTCTGGAAGTCATCAATCCAGCAGAGCCACTGAATCTGAAAGATCTTGCTCAGATGAAGCAAACTAAAACAAGATGTAACTTTCCACGTGCAGCATAAAGTAATGATGAAAGGATGGCCTAACAGCATTGAGGACACACCAATTGTTCTGAGAGAGTATTAGGCATACAGAAATTAAGTGATAGTTCAAGACAGCAGCTTGTTCAGAGGAATCAATGCACACAATCAAAGAATTGAATCTAATCTGAGGAAGGCAAAAGAAGTCTTCTACTGGTTAAATATGAGTCATCAGATTAAGGATCACATCAGCCAATGCAGCGCCTGTAATAAATACCAAGTGGAGCAAGTTGGAGCAGTTTATGACCCATGACATGGCAGGCAGGCCTGGAACTGATTATCTTGTCACCATTGTCTATATTTTTAATCAACCTGTTCAAAGATGTTATTACACACCCCTGTAACATTATTCAGTGTGTGAATAAATAATACTCCTGGTTTTACTGTTAGGGAGTTGCCGTGTATCACTTTTGAATTAATTTCATAAACAGAGGTTTAGGAAATGCTACATAGCCTTTTCAATACTAGACCATGCTGTTTATAGCCAGAATGCAAGAAGTTCAAACTGCGTCTCTCTATGATCGTGACATTTTATTAATGAATTTCTACTGTCTCCTTTTAAATGGAATCGAATTTAACAGCATTATGGACCTTGTGGTGTGAGAGCACAGAGTATGACCAGGTGGTAGCTTCACAAACTTAAATCTGCAATTAAGATTCAGTTTTAAACCATTTTAAAAGCAGACAGAGTTATAGCTACTGGTGAAAAAATCAGCAGTGTGATATCAATAATACATTGAACCCTGGCGAAATTGAATTCTAGACAGTTTCTTTAGAAAACTCACAGATAGCTCCTCCTATAAGGCAAAATACAACCAAAGAGATTTTCACCTCTTATGTGGGAGAATTGGCAGAATCTTGGAACAAGCCTCCAACTCATTTTCTGTGCACATACTGATATAGCTAAGCACAAAAACTATAACCCAAGACACTATTTGTTAAATTAACTGAGATTTAAATTCCTCCTCCCAAAAAACAAAATTCAGATGCTAGCATTTTGTAAAGATGTTATTTCAATCATTAGGTGATAGATTATTGCTGTTGGAGTTAGTATTAGCTTCAGAAAAGTGTGGTTCAGTTCATATCATTGATCAATTACTATTTCCTCTGGTTTGGAATCAATAAAGGCTGAGTCAAACAATGCAATTTTGTCAAAATCTGACAATGACTATTTACTGCTGAGGTAACTAAATAATTTAGTTACTATATGAAATATAATCACATTAGCAAAAATCTTTTGTACTCCCCTCATCATTTGAACAGCATTACTGTATAACTGGTGCAAAGAAAACAGCATCCTTTATCCGTGTCTGTCCTTCTACAGACCATTAATCCAAACCCTTGCATTTTGTCTATATTGCATTGATTTGCATTTTTATGGATTGCATTGACAACAGCGCAATTATCTCCGCACAGTACCACTATGACAGCCTTACAGCACAAAAGAAAAAAAATGGCATCCTATGAAATATATTTTCAAATTATACAATTCTGTACTGTTTCTTGAAATTTCACAGTTAATTATATTGATTTTATTGAATCAATAATACAGATTAATAATACATTGATGCATTATTGTTTGGGAACTCAACACACCTATGCAAGAGGTCAGCAGATCTGAAAACTATTCTGGTTCCCCAGATGCTCGTGTTTGGAAGAGAGAAGAGCACAGAGCAGCTGGAAGGTCAGGTTGTCACATGCAGTTTAGAGTTCTGGGTATCCAATCAGAATTGACAGTTTTATTCTGCATAAGTAATGTTCACAGGCAGCTTCTTAAAGTTGGCACTAAGCATTCGAATTTTTTTTTTAAACAGGGACTTCACCTTTAGTACAAATTCTCATTGAAATTATTTCAGACGCAGAAATGCTCAGCAGATACAGTTGTATTGTTTGGAGGCCCTGTGATTTAGTTGGTTGTCAGTCGGGCAAATCTCAAGGTTCTCTCATGCTCTGTTAATAACAGGCCTTTTAACAAGGTTAGAAGATTCAGGATGGAATCCATCTAAAATAATTAAATTATTTAAGAAATGCACATACGTGCCAGCTGCATGACCCCATTTCATGTTTTCAAATCACCTCCCAGAGAATCAAGTGCACTATGTCTTGAAAATGTGGATTCAGGTGCCCGGCTTTTTGGTCCATGCCCTTGCCACAGTGTTATATCATCAACAAAGTCTCACCAGGTCAAGGTTAAAATATGAAACTAAACTTTTACAAAACTGAAACACAATCCTTTCTGGTACACAGGCTCTAGAACATGATACTTCTAAATAACAAAAAAAATCAAAACTTTTGTCAACAAGTATAATTTACCCATCATTCTTTCTACTTCCTCTCAACTTCAGTCTATAGCAAAGCCCAAGTGCGACAGAAATATACAATCTACATTATAAATTGGTTGCTATACTCTACCAGTAAAATGTGAATAAATTACACAACTATGAACATATTAATCTCATAACTATGAATATACCAATCACTTCGGAAAATGTTTGTTTTCAGGTCGGGTCAAAGAAGCAGAAAATGAATGCAAAACCCCTCTGATCATAACTTTCTTTTATGAACAAAAGAATATACTATTTCAATTTATCATTCTCTTGTTATTCCAGCATGCATTGAAGAACACAAATCTTAAAGGCATTTGTTCAAGTAGCAATTAAACAGAAAGTCAGTACAAACATGGTGTTTTCTCAGATAAAACTAACAAAACTTTTTGTTGGTATAGATCCATTTGCACCAATTCCTAATCAAGAGAGCTATTCTTTTGTGCATGTTTACGACAAATTGCTCAAAGGAGTCATGCAATCAGCTCACTTTGTGGGGAAACATTAATTTCCTCTCAATATTTACCTGTTGCCACAGCCGAAATATACCATTTTAAGAACTTTGGACGTGAATCTACCATGCAATACTAGTTAAAATGCAGACTAATCCATATTACAGCAACCTACTGCTGCTTTGAAGTAGAGAGAAAATGAGAAATGATATAGAAGAGCAAACAAAAACAACCAACTGGGAGAAATAGACGGAATTCTTCATAAATGCAATACTGAACTGTAAAGATTGCCCTTACTTCATTTCAAGCACTTCCTCTAGGTGTTTCCTCCTCTCAGCACGCAGGTTACTGAGGTGGGCTTCCTTTTCTGCCAGGGACTGCTGGGTAGAGGATAGCTTGGCATTCATCAGCTCCAATTCTAGTTTCACTTTCTCCATAGCTGCCATTAACTCTTGCACCTACAAAACCAAATATTTCAGGTATATTCAAAAACAGTAAATTAACATTACTTTTAAATAAACATTGCTCTGAAGGTCAATCAGCAACATACTGGATCATTTACAGTACTAGTATAGGAGTTGATATTGTCATCATACAAATATAAAACCTTCTTCAAGCTTTCACAAAGGCTGAAATGGTAAATAAAGACATGATGCATTGTTCAGCTTTGCAGATGAAGTTTGCTTCACATTTAATTCCGAAAATGTGAATTCATCTAATATTTAATATTGGATGATTAAACTTAGCATCCATGTATTAAATAAAGAATGAATTCAGTTTGAGTTCTCACTCCTGATCATTATACTACTTACTCTTTAAACAACATGGGAGTAGACATTGGGTGAAGATAGTGGAAGCAAGTGCAATAGTATTAATCCTGACTGTCAAGGTACACATTTAAAATATGGAAATGGATTCAAGAGTTGGCCTTTTATAAGGCCACTTTATAAAGGTAAATGCAGGAAGGACATTCTTGATGACTGGGGAGTCCAGAACCAGAGGTTATAGTTTTAATATATGGCATTAATGTTTTAAGACTGAGATGAGGAGAAATTTCTTCACCCAGAGAGTGGTGAGCCTGTGACATTTTCTGCCACAGAAAGTGGTGAAGCCAAAACATTAAATGTTTCCAAAAAGGAGTTAGACATAGTTCTTATGGCTAAAAGAATCAAATGGAACAGGGAGAAAGCAGGAACAGAATGATGAATATTGATCAGCCATAATAAAAATGGATGGCAAAACAGACTAGAAAGGCTAAATAGAATACTCCTGCTCCTATTTTCTATGTTCCTACACACTGATTATTCAGCTTTTCAACATGTATTCCAGTTCCAATTGTCAAGTCATCTTTGGACTCAAAACATTAACTCTGTTTCTCTCTGCACAGATGCTGCCAGACTTGCTGGGTTTCTCCTGCATTTTCTATTTTTGTTTCAGATTTCTAGCATCTACAGTATTTTGCCTTTGTTTTAACATGTGCATTAGCCTGTGGACATTTCAAATGAAAACAATTTTTTTTTCAGCTGCTGGGCATCCAGAAATTTATTTTTTGTGTAATACACGCATTCACCTTTATACAATCTATATAAAGATTAGTTGACCTATCCAGTTTTGGGACATTATTGGTAAATTCCAGCTGCTTTAATTAATATAAATCAAGTAGGCTTCCAGCATGCACTGAATCTCTGATTCCACTTTAGTTTGTTTTTCTGGGCACAACTGATAAGGATGTTTTTTATTCATCCTAACTCTTCTACATTCACATCATACCGGATTAATTTATTTTAAGCAGGTGGACAGATTACCTCATACGTCCTCAATAGTTTTACAACACCCTCCCACTTTCCTTTCTCTAAATATGAGAACATGATGTCTAACTATCTCAGTATTTCTGTGTTAGCTAGTTGAATTGTAGGAGGTTCGCTTTGGGAACTGTCTATCTCTCTATCTACTTCACTCCCTTTATCTCCAACAACTTCCCCTACTCGATTTGATTTGATTTACTTATTGTCACGTGTATCTAAATACAGTGAAGAGATTTGTTTACAAGCATTACAGGCAGATCATAGTAAGCAAGGACATATAGATCATAGGATGAAAAGAAAACCTTAGACACATATTCCCCTCCCCTGTTCCCTCCAGGGACACCCTGGTCCATTCCTCCTTCACTCCTGCCACTTCAACACACCACCTTGTTCTCGGGCCAACATCTCGCTGTCAGACATGCTGCAGTACTCTAACGAAGTTCACCACAAGTTGGCAGAACAGTACCTCATTTTCTGCTTGGCTACTCTACAGCCTTCTGGATTCAATATCAAATTCAACAATTCTCCCAAGTCCTTACCCCAACCCCCACACACTAGGCCTTATTATCACAGGGTCTGCTGTTATACACAACCCGTTGTTAGCCACTGATTGTCCCCATTAGCAGCCATTCATTCTACTAGGCTGACTGTTCTCCACTCCTTTGTCTGTCCAACTATTCTTCTCTCTCTTTGGGCCCTATCTCCACCTATCATTTACTCCTTGACCCCTCTCCCCACCCTACTTTCTGCATAAATAACAATTTTTTCCTAGCTGCCATCAGTTCTAAGGAGGGTCACTGGATTCGAAATGTTAATGCTAATTTCTCTCCACAGATGCTGCCATTTACCAACATGTTGGGTTTTATTGAACCTTTCTGGAGTGAAAACTAAATCCTTAAGGGGTTATTTTCCCTTTAGCTAAAAGACTCTTCACATCCTTCATCTAAATTTTGTACTTCTATACTTACAATAGTATTTACTTCTGGAGTCTTAGTTCTAGCTAGAACTATAATCTGATCTGGGGCCTTTTCCTTCCAAGTTTCCATTTCGAACTCATTCTTATGAATTTCAATAATTCCCATAGGTGTGCCTCTCAACTTCCAATATTCTGAAAGAACATGGCCCACCTTGTTACATTGGTAACATCTCAGCTTCCAATTTTGACTGAAAACAAAAAATGCTGGAAATCACAGCAGGTCAGGCAGCATCCATGAAGAGAGAGCAAGCTAACGCTTTCAATCTAGATGAATCTTCATCAGAGCTGAACATGCTCCTACTCGGCTTCCAAATTTCACCTTCATTCGTGCTTCTTTCCTTCCTGATCTGAGGGCAAGATCTTGGTGCATTCCTTTCACTCTCTCATTTTCTTTCTAGTTTGAATTTGAGGGTAATGGAAAAAGGCTTTCATTTTATAGATTTTTGTACTCCATTCCCTTTGAAATAAAGGCCAACATTCCATTTGCCTTTCATATGAGATGCTTAATTTATTTTCTAGCTTTTTTAGATGTAAGCATGAAGACTTCAAAATCCCTCTGTGCTGTAGCTTTCTGCAGTTTTTGTCCATTTAAATAATATTCAATTCCTTGATTCTTCCTGCCAAAGAACATAACCTCAGATATTTCCACATTATATTCCATCTGCCAAGTTTTGCCTACTCACTTAGCCTGCCTATAACCTTCTGTAAGTTTTTTTTTGTCATCCTTGCCACTTGCTTTCTCATCTATTCCCACCTGTAAACTTGGCTATAGTACATTCACTTGCCTTATCCAAGTCTTTAATATGTGTTGTAAATAATTGTGACCCCAGCACTGATCCCTGTTGCACTCTACTCATTACAGGGTGCCATTGTGAAAGTGTCCCTCTTGTCCCAAATCTCTGTCTATTTGTTAGCTAATCCTTTATTCATGCTAACACACTTCTCGCAACTCCATGGGCTTTTTACCTTATTAAGTAGCCAGCCATGTGGCACCTTATCAAATGCCTTCTGAAAATTCAAATATAGACATCCACAGCTTCTCCTTTAGCTCTCCTATTTGTAATAGAGTCATTGAGTCATACAGCACAGAAACAGACCCTTCGGTCCTACCAGTCCATGCAAACATAATCCCAGTCTGAACTAGTCTCACCTGCCTGCTTTTGGCCCATATCTCTCCAAGCCTTTCCAATTCATGTACTTATCCAAAATACAATAAATTTGTCAGACATGATTTCCCATGCTGACTCTGCTTCATGATATTATGGATTTCTAAACACTCTGCTTTTAGAACATAGAATAGTACAGCACAGTACAGGCACTTGACCCCACGATGTTGTGCCAACCTATTATCCTACTCTAAGATCAAATTACATCCTTTATTATACACTTGTAACATTTTCCCATATACATACATTAAGCTAACTGGCCTGTTCTTTTTTTTTGTTTTTTTTTCTCTTTTTAAATAAAGGTATTACATTTGCAGTTTTCCTATCCTTTTGGACTTTTACAGAATCTAAAGATTCCTGAAAGATTGCTGTCAGTGCATTCTCTACATCTGTGGCTCTTTTTTGGTTGTTTTTGTTGGCTTTTAAAACTTGCCCAATCCTCTGGTTTACCACTAATCTTTACCACATTGTATGTTTTTTCTTTCATTTTGATACTAACCTTAACCTCCCTGGTTAACCATGGTTGGATCCTGTCCTTCCTACAATCCCTGTTTCTCACCGGGATCTATCTTTGTGTGAGCCATGAACTATTTTCTTAACTGTCATTTTTCCTCAACCATCTTTCCTGCTAGGCATCTTCCCCAGTCCAGTCCAGCCAGCTTTGTCCTCATTCCTTTGTAATTAGGCTTATTTAAGCTTAGCCCAGTTGTTTCTGACCAAAGTTCCTCCTTCTCAAACTTAATGTTAAATTTTATCATATGATGGTCATAGTTTACTCTGACATCATTTATTAAATCTGCCTCATTATACATCACCAGATCCATGATTGAATCCACGAAATATTGTTCCAGGAAACTATCCCAAATACACACTATGAAATCTTCCTCATGACACACTCAGCCAACTTGACTATTCCAATTTATACAAAGATTAAAGTCATCCATGATTAATGAATTGTCTATTTTACATGTCCTTATTATTTCCTGATTTATTCTCAGGCCTACCATGTGGTTACCATTTGGGGGCCTAAAACTATTCGTATTGATGTTTTCTTCCCTTTATTATTTCTCACCTCACAAATATTGATTCGACATCATCTGATCTGAGATCATTTCTTGCTATCATATTAATTCCATCTTGTACTAACAATGCTACCCTACCACCCTTTTCTTCCTATCCATTCTTTCAAAAGTCACATGCCACTGAATTCTCTTTCTATTGGTTATAAAGAACCAAGTTGGATCAGATTAGTGAACTTTAACTCAATTCCTTGAGTCAGCACCAAAGAATTGGTCAGACAGAATGATAATCTCATTTAGGGAGACTACCAAGATAGCTACAGTGGAGAATGGAAGAATGGACTTCTGAATTTATGGTTATGGGAATTGCTGGAAAGGAAAGGAAAACGGATCTGCATTCATAAATTGGTTTCTACAATCACCAGATGTCACAATGTATTTTTCAGCCAATGACCTACTGCTTTAAGTATACTCAATTCTGTAATGTAGGAA